ATGAACATTTATAAAAATTTTGAGGTCAATTGGAATAAGTTGATTTATTTCATAATTCTTAATTAAATAATTAATTCATAAAAGCAAATAGTAACCTTTAATGATTTAGGTTTTTGTTTGGATTTTTGGATTGAGTGATGACCTTGGGTCATTAGTTGATAATGATCCTTGACAATTGAATTAGGTGTTACGAAAAAGGTTTAGTTGATTTGACTTGTAACTGTACCGCTAAGGAAAGTTGTATTCAAGTTGTTAATTTTGTATCCATCGTCAAGCATCATGTTTTATATTCCGCATCATGTTAAACATGACATTGTTACTACGTGTAGTGAATGAAGGTGAGCACGTGGTAGTTAATCAAGTGGTTGAGGAGGTTAGTCCGTCTGTGGAGGTTGGATTTGAAATCGGTGGAACGACTCCGGAACCAGACTTTTCCGTCAACGAAGGCAAGCTCCGGATGTATTTAAACCTACCTTGTGTTTTACAGCTTGATTTCGCTTTTGCTTCTCTGTACTTCATTAAGTGATTAGGAGTAAGTGAAAACCTAGTTGGTGCATTACCAACCTTGTTTTCTCATATCTACCTTGTTAACCGTTTCAATTCGAGAATTTCTATTTATGTTTAGTCATGCTTAGACCGATAAAGGTCGAGTGATTACCTGTTACCTGCGAGATTTAAATGGATCTTTGTTTACGTTTGGTTACTTATGTTATCATGATATATGAGCATGTGGAGTAATAAATCTAGACCGGACGGACTCGGTGTGTGTGAGCCACAAGGCATGGAAGTCTTGTGAGCGGGTTCTTTTCACCTGTATCGATTAAGGTCCGTCCGTTGTTGAATTGCATGAGGTGAGACTTTGTAGTACTAACCACATACTCCGGTAAGCCTTAACTTGGCTATTCTATTACGAGAATGTCTACTCGCGCACTGGGAGTGCAGAGATGGCGGGAATAGCGTGTACCCACGTGGTAATGGGCTGGATTGGTGGAGTACTGTATTCTCGGGTGGCGCAGACCCGTTCTTGTTTTAGAGGATCTGAGGGTAGGTTGGTATATGTAGGTCAGGGACCTGCATATGTCGTGTGGTCTGGAATTCTCAGCTAGGTTTAATCGGTTCGAATCGTCGTTGCTCCTCGGTTATGGAGACTCAACTCACTGTTCATCATCATAGTTTAATAACTGAAACTTGAGTAAGGTTTGAGAAAGTGTTGGATATGGAGTTTCATGATCTCATTACGGGTCATGTCAGCTTTGTATATGGTTTTATGAAGTTTTAAATGTTGATATAAAGAATTTTGTTAAAAAGCTTTTACGCAAAAGAACTTTGATTATTGCTAAAGCCATACCTTGAATCCCTGAGCCTGCATTCCTGAGTTCTATCAGTTTTTATTTTCGGTTAAGTCTTGTTGAGTACTTTTGTACTCAGGGTTCGTTGACCCTTGTTGCAGGTGAGCCTCATGAGCAGATCTATTTTTGATCGTGCTTCATGACTATTGTTCAATGCGATGACGATAAGTAAATGTGTGGCCCTTAGACAGGGCAGCTTATTTGAGTGTTGTGTAATATGTTATAATGCCACTCCACTACTACGTTTTGTAATATTAATCGAACTTAGTTGTATGGTTTGAAACAAATGGTTTATAAACTATGTTATTGTAAGTCTTCTGCTAATTTTTACTCTCATGTATATATTTGAATAAACTGTTGTATACTGCATTGACTCTGTAATGTGATCCTGTTCGAAAATCGTGGATGATTCGGAGTTCCCGAGGACACCCGACAGTCTTCTTAAGTTAGCAGGAACATATGCATAGTTGTCAAAGGTCGTTGGACAGTGACAGATGCATGTGGGCCCAATAATTTAGGAGGTTCTGTCACAATAGGTCCTTTGGACTACATATTGTTCCTTGCCTCAATAGTTTTTTTTCAGATTATAAATATATGTGATCCTCTTTGCTCTGTTTCCAAATCAACAAGTTGTTGCCTAACTACAAGTATTGCAAGTTTAATATTCTTGAATCAAAATGTAATCTGAATCTAGAGCCATCCATTGTTCAATAGAAATGTATGGACTGATACAAATGTATTTATGTGATCATTCTCGTGCCTTGATTTGTTAATCCCCAGCAACTGTTGCAGGTTGAAGGCCTTGGAAAAATTGCCCAGGCTGAATTTGCAGCTGCCATTATGAACTGAATTTGCAGCTGCCATCATGAACTGGAAATTACATGTAGGTTTATGTGCATTAGTTGTTTATCCAAGGCATTGTTAACAACTTCAGTGGATGCCCAGCACTTGTGACATAGTGTAGGTGTATGTTGGTACACATGACATTATCCTAACTTGTTATATTGGATGGTTAGGACTATGTGCTGGAACTTATCAGGTTGCATGCCTAGGACTGAGCTAGTAAGCCTTTTAGTGTAATGGTTGGACACTTGGATGGAGTTAGAATGTATTGCGAGCGTTTTTCTTTGGTTAGTCGTCGATCGATCCTGAATCTGAATCAGTCACGCAGCAGTGAGCTGAGCATTCTGCTGTCAGTGTGGAAATGCCACTCTGACGCTTGGGTTCCATTCCATGTAGCTCCAGTCAGGCCACCAGTGTGAAATAAATTGGATATTTGATTGATGAAAACACAGCTTGTGTATGTTTGTTTTGAGATCGACGCTGCCATCTCCATGTTTGTACAACATGACGATCGAAGCCATACTTCACTCTGGACAGCGTTTGCCTTCCTCTAAAATGTAGCAAAAAAAGATTCAGCACTGGGGTTCGAGCCCAAGCCTTTGAGCTAAGTCGCGCGTCCTAACCAACTGAACTGCAATGGCGTTGTTGCATGTTCCTCGGAACAATTATACTTCTTTCATTTCAAACGCCAAGAGCTATAGGGTAACAACTTGGTGCGAAGATCTACGGCGCCGAGCTCGGCGCCAAAATCTATGGCGCCGAGGCCTTGTGCACGTCGGCGCCAGGTCACCGCCACGTCCGACGCCTAGCCAAGACCTCAGCGCCATTGGCCATGGCGCCAAGACGTGTTTCCTTGGCGCCAAAAGCCATAGCGTCGAGGTCTGGGTCCATAAATGAAAATCAAACCACCAGGGTCTATTTGTGAATATTTTTCAAAAAAGGGCCGAAAAATAAAAAAATATGGTGTTCTCACCCATTGGGAGCGCCAACCCCCGCGGATCCGGTGGCCCTATCCCCCACCCCGACGAGATCTATGGAGGTGGCGCGACGGTGTTGCAGGGGAGTGGATGACCCTCCCCCACCCCGGCGCGGCGCCCTCTCACCCTGGCGACCAAGCTCACCCCATCCCGGCGGCTGGAATCGACCGGCCCAGCCTTCCCCTCCCATATGTTGCATATGTTTGTTTTAAGTGTTTCAGACGTTTCAGATGTATGTTGCATTTGTTTCATATGGATGTTGCAAAAGTAGATTAATTGATGTTGCACATATTGCATATGCTGCACTTGTTTTAGAGACATGTTGCAAGCGTATGTTTCGAGTGTTCCAGATGTATGTTTCATCTGTGTTTTCTGGACACATGTTGCAAGTGTGTTTATCTGGATGTTGCATATGTTTCACACAAACGTTGCATGTGTTTCATTTGGAAGTAGCGTATGGTTGCAATGGTTTTCAAGTGTTTTTAGGTGTTCTTTTCAAGTATTTCAGAAGCAAGTTTGAAGTGTTTCAACTGCCTTCGGACGTATGTTGCAACTTCTGTATTTGGATGTTTCAAAAGTAGATCGGGTGTTGCATCTCTCCTCCCCACCTTCTGCTGCATCGTTTCTCCCGCGCCGGCATGGCACCCATACGATGCCATGGCCAGGTCCTTCCGAATCGGAGGCACCGCACGCCCTTCCCCTCTTGTCGCTCGGGCGATGTGGGCCCCATGTGGAGCGTGAAACAGAGTGCAGCGCATGACCGTCAGCACGAGGGCGTCATATGACCATGTATATAAGCCCGATCGGAAGAAACTCTTCATTGTCTGGTAGTTAGATGAAGAGGAAAAAAAAGGGCGGATTAAAAAAATAGACTGAAATTTTGCCTCTTTATTATTAGCTGTTGGTATAAATTGTTATTGTAAAAAGTATATTTGTTGAAAATAGTGTAGATAAGTTTTATCTCTATACAACTTATTTCGTCTCCATGTTCATCTATACTATCTACCGAGACTAGTCTAGTATAGCAGCGGACTTGTCCTTTTTCTTGTCCCTCTATTAACCTTCAGTGTGTTATATCGAAGAAAAAGAAAACCCTCAGTATCACAGGCTTTGCGGCTCGGTGACTCGTTTTATAAAGCGTTGCCCCTCTACAATATCACCCCCGTCCATCGCTGCTCCCGAAACGAAACGAACCCCAACCAGCCGCTTTCTCCTGGATTCCAATCTTAGGCCGGCTCGAGGTGCCGCCCATTTCAACGGGCCTCGCATTCTTTACTAGGGGTACGTAGCACTGTTCCAGTGCTCCTCCTCCTCCTCCTCCTCCTCTTCTTCTTCTTGGGTTCTTCCTCCTCCCAAATCATTGTATTTGTATATGTATAACTGGCCGCAATTCTTTTCTTTAGTCTCCTCTTGCCTCTGCTCCGGGGCAGAGGAATAGTGGCTTTGTCTGGTTGGCCGGTGCTGGTGCGTTAATGGCGGTTGACCTCCTCACCATAGCCTCGCGCCTTTAAATCGGGCGGGAAGGGTCTCCTACGTCGCCTCAGCTCCCTAGCTCTTCTCCATATCCCTGATCAAAATCAAACCACTGAATGAGAGCTTCAAACCCCTTCTGGCCATCTCTGATCCTTTCTTGAACTCTGCTCTTTCGTCTCTTCTGTCCTTTGCTCGGTCTCTGCTTGTTCTCGTCGTCGCTCGTAAGGTTTGCCATCGTAGTATACATCGTGCATGCTTTCACGTTTTCATCCTCTGTTCCTCTGAACTCTGCAGAAAAAAACTTGAGTCACCAACCGTCTCCAGTTTTGGTTTCTTGGTGCAGTGCAGCAGATTGAAAATGGCGTCGCCGTCGCCGTCAGCTGGAGAGAAGAAGAAGATCCTGGTGGCGAGGAAGGGGCGGCTGCGGCAGCGCTACGACGGCGAGTACCGCCTGGTGGCCGGGTGCGTGCCGTACCGCGTGGGCGCGGACGGCCAGCCGCAGCTGCTCATGGTCTCCACGCCCAGCAGGGACGACCTCGTCTTCCCCAAGGTAACTATTCCAACTAGCAGCCACACCTCAGAACTGCACGCGATCAACATCTCAGTGGGCAAGCACAACGTGTTCCTCCTCTGGCACTTGCAGGGCGGGTGGGAGGACGACGAGGACGTGCACGAGGCGGCGTGCCGCGAGGCGCTGGAGGAGGCCGGCGTCAGGGGCGCCATCAACGTAACTACTCTCTTCTGTCTCTCTCACAGTCTCGCTCTCGCCTCCACGTCGCTAGCGTCGTCCGTCTCTGGCGTTCTTCGTAGCAATCTACTAGCTAGTCGCTCGATCCTCCGAGAGTGAAAAAAAAGCACGCAGTTGATGGCGACCGGCGCCTGCTGTCCGCGCCGTTATCGTTACGTGGGCGAACATGATCCTAGCAAAGCAAGCAACCATCTGCTGACTAGTTGCAAGATTATCCGCTTAAAAAAAATCACTTCATCCATCGATGAAAGCTGCCCGTCTGTATATAGGAAACGGAGCAGCTCATGTCATGGTACAGGTTGCTTTGTTTGCTTGTGATTATGATATCTAGTTAGCTGAACCGGCTTCTTACTGGCCCGAAAAAACAAAGAACCCTGGATTGAGGTCATTGACATCTAGAGATTTCTGAGGACACACTTGAATAATTAGCTGAAGAATTCGACAACGACGATTCTCGCTCGATAGCGAAAGTGACAGGGAAATTTCCCTCACGAAAGATAAGCTATTGCTGCGGCGGATCGTCAGAAACCAACAGTAAAGGAGAGACTTTGCCGTTGACTTGCTCAACAAAGAAGTTTTCTGATAAACGAGTTCAAGATGAGCACGCCAATTGCGCAATGCGACGTTTTTAATTTGATTTTTACAATGGTGCTACAGTCATCGAGTTGGGCATCCCAGATTGTGAATGATTGCTCGCTTTATTCGCCCCTGCCTGGGCTTCTTGTCAGAGCCCAGAACTCAGAACTGAGAAGGCGTTTTCTTTTTCAGAGATCTGAGCCAGTCAACACACCCTTTTTATTTATTTATTTACTTCGCCATTGTATCCATGCCCAGTATGCATGTGCTGTGTCTCCTGCTTGGCAAACACATGTCACCCAGTCTAGAATAATAGAATATAAGCAAAGAGAGCCAAGAAATCGAACAGCTGCTAAATCGACTTCGTTGAAACCAACACTAGATGGAAGAACGGATTAACTGATGAATGAATGCTGTGTATTTTTGTTTCTCCCAGCGAAGTGCGCTCGGGATGTGGGTGTTCAGGAGCAAGAGCAGCCCGGTGAGCAGCGACGACAGCCCCCGGGGCGCCTGCAAGGGCTACATCTTCGCGCTGGAGGTGGCCGAGGAGCTGGAGCAGTGGCCGGAGCAGGACACCCACGGCAGGCAGTGGGTGAGCTGCTAACTAACTAACCGTCTAATCCCATCCATCAGATCTGTTCAGTTCAGTTCATTCATCACGTACCAACACTACCATTGGCAGAGGCAATAATCCGCTGGTGCTTAGAGTTACTAACGGCTGCTGGATGCATGGCAACGTGCAGGTCTCGCCGGCGGACGCGTACCGCCTCTGCCGCTACGACTGGATGCGCGAGGCGCTGTCGGCGCTGCTGGACCGCCTGGCGGAGCCCAAGCCCGCCGCCGCGGAGGGGCTCAGCGACCACGCCGGCGAGTACATCATGGTCAAGCCGGCCGCAGCCACCACGGATCGAGCGGTGGCGCTCTGCTAGCGCTGCTGCTACCTCAACAATGCCAGTGCCACGTAGCAGCCAGAAAATCGATCATCTGAAGCTCTTCTGTTCCTTGCAACTAGAACTAGCGACCTCGTGTTTAACACGTGTTTAATTAAGAGGAAATAGAGACCAAAGAATGGCTTACACGACCCAGCTACGGATGAACCCATAGTGCATATTACATAATCACAGAGGTAGTGGTCAGGAACCTTACCTTAAACAACAATAGAAAAGAAAGAATGACGAAAGTAGAGAGCCCCAAGCCACAAACTTAACCGACTAAACGCAAAGGCTGCCAACAAAGGAGATGAAGCCACGGTGACAAAGCATCCACCAAGAAGAGACGAGACTATGGTAGTGGAGTATTCGCTCGAGCCAACCAACAGATCGGCGGCAAAGCATCCGATCCGTAAGTGGGGGCCATCACACACTCAGTAAGTGGCTGAGCGGGGAGACCGAAGCGACATCGATAAAGCATCTGCCCGAGAACAGGAACAGTGCAAAGAATCTGCCAAAGAAAGTGACAAGGACCAAGTATCCGCTGCGAAGACCCGAATAAGTGTGGCAACACCAAACACTGAGGTAGGACAGACCAATGTGAAGAGAATGTTGAAGCACACGCAGGCACAACAAAGCAACTCCGGTGATCGACGCGAGGGGTGCAGCAGATGAACAAAAAAAAAGTGCACACCAATGGGGATGACATCCACGGATGCTAACAACGTTTAGAGAAGCACCCGAGGGACTTTCATCCCCAAACTTTCCCCATCGACCCCTGTGATGAAAAGAAAATTTGGTGACGCCTCCAAGGATGACACTGGCCACGCCAGCGCCACCATCGCCGACCCAACTCAGGAAGCAGGCGAGGTTTTCACCCAGGGACTATTCGACTGCAGACGCCGGGGTACCAAGCGGGCGAGCGGCCATGCTGTCCACAAGACCGACCGGAGACAGGTGTCGGCGCTGCCACTACCGCGAGGTCCTCACCTTGCCCGGCTACCGCTCCACCGGATTGGATAGGAAATGGGGGACAACGCCGCCCTAAGCATGTCATTGAAGCCCCTCGCCAGCTCGAGGTCGCCTTGGTGCACCTGGACGCGCCGATGGGGAAGGCATCATGCACCGATGGCAGGCCCCCCAAGGGGAAGCACATCGACGACCCCAAACCCCCGCGCCTCAAGGCCAAGGAGCGCCCATACAGGGACGCCACCGTTCTGCGTGTCGTACCGTTTCGCGAACCATGCCGCAAATCGGAGAAGCCCGTCGTGCGAAGTCGTCGATTCGAGAAGGGTGAGGCAGAATTCGGCCCCAGGTTGGGGACCTAGACCCACTCCCACTAGCCGGCCGAACTGCAGGCCCTCGAAGGCCCCGGAGGCCGCACCACCAGCAGTCGCCCCAATCCGCCGCACGAACGTGAAGACCTAGGAGGGAGAGGCCAGATCCAGCCCCGGGGGGCCTCGGATCCACCTCGCCGGCCGGCTAAATCGCCAGAGAAGGTAGGGGTAGAGGAGGGGTGGTGGAGAGGTGGGAGGGTGGGAAGGGGGAAGGGAGGGGCTGCGACGGGGTGCCGCTTTTGCGGGCTGCCACGGGCCACCGCCGCCGCATGCCAGAGGGCCGGTGGCGGTAGCGGCCAGTGTGGTGGCTGTTGGGTGCTCGAGCGGCGCCGACGATGTGCCCCCATGTCTCCTATTGGGAGTGCGCTCGGGGGTAGACGAAGAACAGTTCGATAAGGATTTCCTATTCATGGGCCCGTGAGATGATTATTGATTAATACAGTCAAATAAATCAACAAAGCTATTTATAAAAATTATTAACAAAAAATTCTAAATGTTACAGAATGAAATACCCACCTTATTTTTTGAGGGCAAAATACCCACCTTATTTGCGCAGGTGTCCTGGTTCGTTTTATAGGAGTGTATAGAAGTGAATTTGTGTACACTGCTACAGAATTCATAATCACCGCCATCACTTTCACCGCCAGATTGCATTGTTCGTATTCCAAATCATTAGTGAAATGATTTTCACCGCCATTTCGTGTTACGAGCCGTTGGTGAAATTAGGGGTGATTATCACCATCAGATGGTAACACAAACCGGCGGTGCGGTGATGGCAACCCATTTTTCACCAACGGTTAGACTTATGCTGCAGCATAATAAAATTCATAACTTGCTAAAAAAAATCATAACTTTTTTAAACCAAGTCGTATGAAAACAAACTTTACATCAAAGTTGTACAACTTTGTAGTTGATGACTTTTTCATTTGAAATCATTTACGGTCCAGAATTTCGTTTGAAGCTCTCGTATTTTAAAATTCAATTTTCTCAAATTATACAAATTGCCTCAGATGAAAAAAATAATCAGAAGCAAAGTTGTAGATTTCGATGTAATCTACAACTATGTAGTTGACGACTTTTTGAATTAAAATCATTTAGGGTCTTAAATTTGTATCTAAAGTTCTAAAAGTTTGAAATTCAAAATTTTCAAACGACATTGGATGGAAAATTGACCAAAACCAAAGTTGTAGATCTCGATGAGAACTACAACTTTATAGTTGATGACTTTTTCATTTGAAATCATTTGAGATCCCAAAAGTATGGCTGAAGTTTCTACACTTTTAAATTTAAATTGTTCAAACGACCTCGGATGGCAAAACAACCAACATCAAAGATGTATATCTCGATCAGAACAACAACTTTATAGTTGATGACTTTGTCAGCTGAAGTCATTTAGGGTCCGACATATTCATTTTAAAATCCTTAGAAGTGAACACTAGGAGAATGAATATTCCATATAGAGTGACTTAGGGCCTGTTCGCTTGTCTGAATTTCGGAGGAATTTGGATGGTTTAGAGGAATCTGTGAGAGAAAAACACTGTTTCGGTTAAAAAAATAAGCGGATCAAGTCGGGTTTAAGGACACGTGAACGGGGCCTTAGGGGTGGAGTGGTTAGAGCGTCTACACGCAAGGACAAGTGTTAGGTTCGAAACCCACCACCGTGCAGTGCGTGGATATCCGCGTGAAAAATCGCACGACCGCTGGTGGGGTCTTCCTACGATTAAATCAAATTTTCTAGCTTTTTTTTACCTAATTTTAAAATTTCTAGAAATTCTAATCACCGCCAGTTGGTAACACGAACCGGTGGTGATAGATTATCATCACCGCCGGTTCACCACCGGTGGTAATGGCCATTCTTCGTCACCAACAACTTTTATCATCGAGAGCTAAAACCGTCGGTGATGAACATTCTATAGTAGTGGTAAGGCGCTCGCAGAAGTCAATGTCTGAACTACTAATCAGATCCTGAATGAATACAAGAGGTTAAGAAGAAGAATTGAATATGGTGGATCTGATTCCTCCGCACTAGTGACGGAAGATCCTGGATGAAAGTTCAGATGGGCTAAAAGTTCATCTTCAACCTCTAGTCTCTCCTCCTCAAAGCAATCAAGGCAAAATTCTTGGAGGGGCTCTAGAGCGGCTCCATGGGATCAGTGGCGGTAGGGGGGCTTGAGCCCCTCCTCTTGCCCCACCGCTAGATCCGTCCCTACTCCACACCATACCATACCACTCTTGAACCCATCGCTTCTGTCCCTTGCTTTACACCATGGGTGAAGCATTAGCAGACGGGCAGAGCGAAGCTCGAGTGCTACGGCTAGTGACGCGGCTGTGGTGTCAAGTGCCCAAACCCAAAGGCAGAGAGCGATGCCCTGTTCTACTTCTTCCACACCATGGTACTCCTCCCTGGCGAGCCGTTGCCTCATTCTCATGTCCACTGCCACCGCTCCTCCGGGATTCTTCCGGTCCAACCGGTCGGACCCGAGCACTGCGCCGACCAAGGACGAGAGAGAGCGCAAACAAATGTGGCCCAGTTAGAGCAAGCGCGCCCCAGAGCAGCGGTGGCCAGGCAACGTCACGTAGGCAGCCCGATAGGATACGTTTCCTTTTTTTCTTTACTTTCATTCATTTCTTATTTTTTTTCCTGTTATGTGGTCTTTTATTATTACTTTTTCTTTCTTTTATCTTTTTATCTTTCTTTTATTCCTTTTCTTTTACTCTAATTAATTTCTTTTGTTTATTTCATTTTTGTTCTCATGTTTTTATTTTTTTCTTTGTTCGATTTACTTTCTTCTCTGTTTATGTAGATTTTTTTCACTTTTGTTTTTTATTTTCTATTTTATTTTACTATAGTTTTTATTTAATCATTTTCATGTTTTATGTTTTTAATTTTTTTTATTTCATACGTTAGATGATATACATATCATGTTCGTGTAGTCTGCATGCGTTTTTGTTTCAGTTTTCTTTTTCTCTTCCTCATTTAAGTTATTCATTTTCTCTATATATTTAGCATTTGTTATTCATGTTTTCTATTTCTATTTTCTTCTTTGTTATTTTAATTCATTAGTTTAATAATTTATTTTTTACTTTTTTATTTTCTAAATTTCATGTGATATATGTGATGTTTACATAGTATACATGTGAGTTTGATATTTTTTTGTGATATTTATGTAGTATACATATGACGTTCTATGGTGTATTTTGTGATATTCATATAATATATATGCGATGTTCACTTAATATACATGTGATGTTCTATATTGTATTTGTGATGTTTACACGTAGTTTGCACGTGATGTTTTATGATATATTTTTGTGATGTTCATGTAGTATACATATAATGTTCTAGCATATATTATGTGATGTTTACGTAGTATACATGTGATGTTCTATAATATAATTTATGTATTTAATTAGTATCCATGTAATGTTCTTTTAATTTTCTACTATTACGAGGTCTTTTATTTTTATTCCTTTTGTTTTCCTTATGCTTTATTCTATCTTTTATTATTTTTTGCTTCTATTTATGTTATTACATTTATCTATTTTTATATATGTTATAGCTCTTGTTATTCATCTTGACAGCTTGCTTCCGTCCGAGCGTCCGGAGTATAACAGCTCTCCCACTCCTCCAGCCCACCTGCCCTGTCCGGTCCATATTGGTGC